CCCTCCCTCCCGATTGAACACGCCAACCACGCCCTCAGCCACCAGCCCGCTCCGCATGCACGCATGCACTCCGCACCTCAGAATTTGACTTCAGCACTGCGCCTCCTCTGAGTGTCGGTATGTGTTTCTCTTTCCTCCTAGTTGTAGGACTTCCACTCAGCCAGCGTTCCTGTGGTTCTGGGTGATGTCCGTTCCATCTTTTAGTTTCACTTTTGAAGTGGTTGTTCGAGGCAGCAAACTCTGGCGTTAACCTATGCCACCATCTTGGTTCTGGTCCTGTTATTTTATTTTTGTATATATATTCATTTCTCAGAATCACAAATGTCTAAGTGACATAGACATCAATTCTCAGGATGTACTAGTATATGTTGCCAGATTGTATTCTTCAGTTATTTTAACCCTTAGTAAAAGGAGAGGGTAACTTTTGGATTTATCGTAATTTTTTTTCTTTGGCAGTGTAGAGATCCAAGGGTTTGTGCAAGTTATGGACAGAGCCGTTGGCAAAGGCAGGCAAATAGTTAGCCAGTGGGTCTCCTTTGAGACATCTCTCTTTTTATGTTGGCTGTTGCAGCTTGGAGATCATTATAGGTAGCAGATTAATCTCCAGCAAGCTACCTGGCAAGTGCTAACACCTTCACAGGCCATCTGTCCCCCTGTAGCCTTTGTAGGCTGTGTTTGGGCCATAGGATCACCTTTCCAAGTGGTCTTGGGCAATAGGTTAGAGGTTAAAGCAAGTTCTAGGATTTGCTTTAGTTGTTTCTTTGGCTTATTTTCACGTAGTCTAGATGTTCGTCAGGCTCTGAGGTAAGTACAAATTCCTTCACAGTGGACTCAGTCTTTGTGGATGGTGGCCAAGTATTACCTATCCTCACTTCACTTTTTACTGACATATTTTTTCCCAGAAATCTCTTGAAAATTCAGGTATGTGAGTAAGACCTTGCTGTAGCTTCTAGTAGTGATGTAGAATTCCCTTCCTCCCATTGCTTACATTGAGAGGAATTAGGAGGAAAATGTTTGACACGTGAACTTGGGTTGCCAATTTGATTCCAGATTCTTACATCTTAAATTTATTAAGAAAATTCAATTCTATAATTGAATACAACAGAGGAAAATGTAAATTATAATTTTTTTTAATAAATAAATTTACAAATTATCACTAAGTTGTGATTATTACATCTCTAGCATAGGCAACTGAAAAGAAGGTGGTATTATTCACTAAGATAAGAACAAGAGACCAAAAGGATCTGTTTAGAAGAGGAGGAGGATGAGTTTGGTCTTAGACAAAGTGAATAGATAGTCAGGTGGTGATGCCTAGTGGGTTGTTTCTATAAGAATCACATGTGTGAATTGTAATAGGATCAGACCTCATATTTGATGTTTGCTGATTTTTTTGTAGGCCTCACCCTCCTTTCCCCTTTGGCCCTACATCTGAAAAGGCTGATAAGAAGGCCCCTGGACCTCTCTTTTCCTTTGGTACCAGCAGAGAATTTATATCTCCCCTGCACAGGAACTTTCCCCAGTCCCATCCGTTAGTCTGGGGGAAGGCCCAAATCTATTCCCTTTGCTTTTCCCAAGTCATTCCAGACCTACTTGTGCCTATATAGCTCTCCCAGTAGTTTCTTGTGTGAGTAATACTTTCTCCCAACTTCTCTTGGTGCTTGGAATGTCATCTGAACCAAATTTTTGATAGGAGCCCCTAATGCTTTTGTAGGAGGACAACACAACATATGTATAAGCTCAAGTCAGATCTGGGCTAGACAAATATAGATTTGGGGCCTTCAGGATGTGAATCAGAGATAGCAATGAGATTTCATGACAAATTCTACTCTGATTATTAGGTAGAGGCTGTCCAGTGTGTTTGGTTGGGAAGGTCCAAAACTCAGCAGTAAAGAGTTTTGCATTGCATATTGGTGTCTGCTGTGGACATGGGTGTTGGAAGTAAAGATCTGAATGTTATGTCTTTTTCCCCTGAACTAGAGGATCTCGGATTTCCTTCAATACGTTAACTTCGCATTAAGCTAAATTAATGGCAGGTAGTTGAGTAGTCTACCCAAACTAAGATAAAAGTCTTTATTGACAGGTAATTCAATATTATTTAATAGTTACATATTATTTATATAATTCACTGACAGTATTACCTCTGCACCGACCCTAGATCTATTTTTGTTCTTACTTACTCAAATTTCTATGTGAAAACAATGCATTATTCAACACAAGCATCGGTATAATGTTGGTGATTCCCAAATTGGCTAAAGAATGTTAAAATTGCAAAATTTTTTATATCATGTTGTTTTTCCTTAATATAGCAATTTTATTTTATTTTTAATATATTTTATTGATTTTTTACAGAGGAAGGGAGAGGGATAGAGAGTTAGAAGCATCGATGAGAGAGAAACATAGATCAGCTGCCTCCTGCACACCCCCTACTGGGGATGTGCCCGCAACCAAGGTACATGCCCTTGACCGGAATCGAACTTGGGACCTTTCAGTCCGCAGGCCGACGCTCTATCCACTGAGCCAAACTGGTTAGGGCAATATAGCAATTTTAAAACTTCATTTCTCAAAATTGGATACATCTCTTTTTATAATGTCCTTTCAATCTTTATTGTTAACTTGTGAGTTTGCTTCTAAGAGATTGATAAAATATTTAATAGTTCTAATAACCTAAACAAACAAGTGAATCCAAATTTGAAAACCTAGTGTTTTTTAGGGCAATCATAGACCTGGTTTAACTATGGCCAGCAGTGACTTTTTTCTATGACTCCAAAGTATTTACTCTGTACAGATGCATCAATTAGGCATCTCCTATCCTAAATTGGCTTAATAATACCACAGGGAACTTACTGCTCTTTTAACTGGATAGTCCTCCATGGCATAGGGGAAGGGAATTTTCCCCTCCTGGAAGCTACGGGAGGAGACTCCAAGAGAAAAAAAAGTTTTTGATTAGGTACATGTGAAAGAAAGGTTTACCCCTCAGTCTTTTAGTCCATGTAAGTAGGTTGTGATTCTATCCTGTGCCTACCTGTTCAGGAATAAGAATGAAAAAACAAAACAAAACAAAAAACTAGAGACAGCAGACAGTGGCCGTGGAGCAGCCTGCACATTGTTGATTGGCTGACAGGCAGGCATTTCTGGCCCAGCTGTCTTGCCGGCATGTGGACTGACGACCAGAGGAGGGCACTCAGAGCCTGCAATAAACTGAAGGCGGAATCGCCTGCAGTGACAGTGGGGGGTCTTGGGAGCCAATCGTCCAGACCCGAGCTCCACAGTGAGGAGGCTCTTCGGGATCTCTGAAGAACTCGGACATTCAGCCCCTTGACAGAACCAGCATTTGGTAGCTTCCCACTCAGAAGGTAAGCTCGTCAATGCTGGTTACAGGAGGGATGGCAACCAGCGTGGCCAGTTGGATGAGGAAACCTTCGTTTCTCTCCTTCCATCAAACCCCATCCCCTGAGTGGCCAGACCCATACCTTAGGTAGCATGTCTAGTGCTGAAACTGAGAAGCCCTAGGGATTAGGGACTTTTCTGAAAAATAATGTCAAATTCCACCATACAGTCCTTCAGTGAGCTGTTCTTCCTAAAGGAAAGGAATATTTGGAATCCTAGTGTCGGAGTTAATTTGTGTGAGGAATGAAACAAATTTCAAAGGAAGGGAAATATTGGTAATTCTGGGCCAACCATTTTGGATTTGGTGTTAACCACCGCTCTTTATATATGTCTTGTCCCCCTCCTCCCTAAAAAAATCCACAAGTTCTTTCTTACAGCCTCAAATCATCCCAGATTATAATATAATTAATTTATTCAAAATATAACATTTTTTTTTGGTTTGTTTTAGAATAAAGGAACATGAAGAGGAAGAAGAAAGGAGGAGAAAATCTGAAGAAAATGATGCTGAGGAAATAAAGCGACAGAATGCATTATATGAAATAGAAATGAGAAAAAAACTAGAAAAGAAAAATAAAGAGATAAAGGAAAGGAGGAAACTATTTTTTGTAAGTTGAAAATACAGCATCTCTTCAAAATATGTACAAAGTCCAATGACTACATTGTAGTATATTATTTTTATAAATAATAGTGGATAGAAAACAAGTTGCTATTAAATTGGATTTCTAAGTATATTGGGGAGAGCTATACTTGCTATGGTTTTATGTGGATGTGCTCACATGCAAGAACAAGAAATAAGAGAATGAAGATTTTTTTCAAATGAATTTATTTTCTTATCCTTAAAATGAGTTATCATATATATATTGTTATAAACATATAGTATCTCTTGATTTATCAATTTTAGTCATTTTCTGTGTCTTTGCCCTGGTAGTTGAGGATTTAGCTCAGCTTTGCTATTCTTGGAACACAGATGGCTTCTGGCCTCCAGGTTGCCTCATGGCCCTGAATGGCTGCTGGAGCTCCTGCCTCGTGACCACATTCAAGGCAGCAAGAAGGAAGGAAGGATGAAGGACAAAAAGAGAGCCCTGCCTTGGCCGGGTACCTGAGTTGGTGGGAACATTGTCCTGTCCACCAAAAGGTTGATTCACAGAGCACATACCTAGGTTTCAGGTTTGATCCCAGATTTGGGGTGCATATGGGGGTCAATCAGTCGATGTTTCTCTCTTACATTGATGTTCACTCTCTCTCCCCCTTCCTTTCTCTCTAAAATCAAGAAAAACATATCCTCAGATGAGGATTTAAAAAATAATAAAAATAAATAATTATCTATTAAAAACATTTTTTGTTAGAATATACATCTATATATTTTCTTGTATATGTGCTAAAACAAAGTCTGGAGTAGGAATTAGTTTCACAGTGATTGAGTGTAGTGGGTAGAGTTAGAAATAAGCAGATTCTATCCACTGAGCCAAACCAGCTAGGGTGGGATAGGTATCTTTTAAATATTTTTAATGTGTGTACTGTGTGACTATATTAACTATTTTTTTAAAATATATTTTTCTTGACTTCAAAGAGAAAGGAAGAAGGAGGAAGAGGTAGAAACATCAAAAATGAGACTCATTGATCAGCTGCCTCCTGCACACCCCCTACTAGGGATCAAGCCCACAACCCCGCCCGGCATGTGCCCTTGACCAGAATTGAACCCGGAATCCTTCAATCTGCAGGCTGATGCTCTATCCACTGAGCCAAACTGGCTAGGGCTGATGGTTTTTTTTCTGATTATTGAATTATTTTAGTTACATATTTAGAGAAATGAACTATTTAAAAAGAAATATAGAAAAGCATAAAGAAGGCGTAAAAGTCACTTATAATCTCAAAGATAACTAACATTTGATACATTTCTTTCAGTTATATATACATTATAAACCTGCTAAATATGCTACTTAGTGTTTATATTCTGTTTGCCCTTCACTCAGCAGTTGTATTATTTGTATTCTTCCCATGTCACTGGAAGTATAATTTATTTAACGATTTTTCCATTATTGAATATTTGAGGTTGTTTCCAACTTGTCACCATTATAAATAACTTTGAAGTGCATGGTATATAAAACTTAGCGCATTTTTCTGATGATCTCATTGGGATAAATTTCCAAGAAAGAAATAACTGGATCAGAATCTGTGACTGTTTGACAGGTTCTTGTTAGATATTTATATATGAAAGATATTTTTCTTGATAGGCTAACACAGAACTTTTTCTCTAAGGAACATATGAATGATAAAAATATCATCAAAGCTGTAGAACAGCAGCAGCAAGAGGAGGAAGATGAAAAGATTAGAAAATTTATCAAAACAAAAAAGCGCCTTATACAAATGAGGAAAGAAAAAGAAGCTGAAACACACAGGTAAGCTTTTAAAATAACTCACATAATTAATAAATTATTTCGTTATAAATGAGAAGTTGTGACATGAAAGGAGCCTTTAGAAATAAAGGCCTCATTATTGTATGGATGGATGACTCGAGCATTTGTGACACAATGACTTCAGTTTGGGGCATGTGAGTTGGGGTTTCCCTGGAATATCAAGGACATCTGTCTGGTAGAAGGCTGGGAATACTGGAAATCTCCACTCTGGGTGGGTATGAGCTGGAGGTGGCTGTGTGAGGCATTGCTGTATATGCGGTTGTTAGAACTGTAGACATGGGTGACCTCACCTAAGGGAATAGGTAAGAAATGAAGGTGGCATAGTCCTTAGGACAAATGCAGAAAGAAGGTAAGGTGCAGACAACAGAATAGCTTCTAGAGATTGGAGGAAAACCAGAGAAACAGCAGAGGAGGAGAGTTTCAGTTAAAAAAAAAAAAGGCAGTCTTTAGTGTTAGATCAATAAAGGTATTAAATGAGATTTTTTAAATTGTGTATTAGATTTAGAGGTCAGTTTAGTGAGGAGTTTGGGATGAGGCGAGAGTGGGAAGCCAGCGACAGTACATCGTGTTTCTGCCTAGAGATCATGCTTTTCTCTGATGGCTTTACATCACACTTAGAGTCTTTACTATGGCCGCTAGGGCTCCACACCTGTCCAGATTCGCAACTGCCTCCAGCCTCACCTCAGACCTGGTCTCTCACTGTTCTCTCCTTCCTTTCCTCTTCCTCGCTCACAGGGGACCTCTCTGGTACCCTCTGGGGAATGCTCACCTGTCTTAACTCTTCAGGTCATTACTCAAATATTGCCTTCTCATTGAGGCTTTCTCTGACCACCTTAAAATTACAACCCCACCCCACCCCCAACCCCACCCCCACATTGCTTATCCCTTTATTTTTTTTAAACCCACTGGTTTTTATTATTTATTTATTTATTTGTCTTTATTGATTAAGGTATTACATATGTGTCCTTATCCCCCCAATGCCCCCCCCATGCCCTTACCCCCCTGGTGTCTGGTTCCATTGGTTAGGCTTATAGCCTGATCGCTGTTTCTCAGACTTTGGATCTGTCCCTTTCCATCAGTCTATGTTGTTCTCTATAATCCGCAAATGAGTGAGATCATGTGGTATTTATCTTTCTCTGACTGGCTTATTTCACTTAGCATAATGCTCTCCAGTTCCATCCATGCTGTTGCATAAGGCAAGAGTTCCTTTTTTTTTTTTTTACCGCAGCATAGTATTCCATCGTGTAGATATTCCACAGTTTTCTAATCCACTCATCTGCTGGGTACTTAGGCTGTTTCCAAATCTTAGTTATGGTGAATTATCCCTTTAATTGCTCTTGTTTTCCTGGTTGCATGATCTAGCACTATTTAAATTATTGTTTGCTGTCCCTCTACCCCAGCTATAACAAAAGCTACATGAGGGCAGAGACTTTTAATGTTTTTGTTTATTATTAGTCTCCAGCACTTGGAATAGTGCCTGGCATATAGCAGGCAATCAATAAGTGTTAAAATATTGTTTTAAGCCTAGATGAAATGTCACCTTTTCCATGAAGCCTTTTTTTTCTTTTATTTTCTTTTTCATTTGCCTATAACATTTTCTAGCTTTCTCGTGGCATTTGTATAGTTGCCCTTTGTCTGTATAGTTACTTGTGCAAATGTCTTTTCTCCACTTTAAATTGTAATTACCTTGGGATAGGCACTGTGTTATCTCTCATAATTTCTGCCACACTGCTTTGCAAATTCACTCAGTAATTTAGTGAATTTGTCACATCTAAATTTAAAAGTATTTTTGGCCCAACATCCTAAATAAAAGTGCCCCAATCTTTTATTTTTTATACATTTTTAAATATATATTTTTTAATTTCAGAGAGGATAGGAGAGAGAGAGAGAGAGAGTAATATGAACATCAATGATGAGAGAGAATCATTGACCGGCTCCTACATGACCCACACTGGGGATGGAACCTGCAACCCAGGCATATTCCCTGACCAGGAATCGAACCGTGATCTTCTGGTTTCATAGGTTGATGCTCAACCACTGCACCACACTGGCTGGGCCCCAATCCTTTATTTTTATTTATTTATTTAGTTAGTTAGTTGTGTGTGCGTGTGTGTTTATTTTGGGGGAGGGGACCCAAATCCTTTAAAAAATAAGGCAGTCTTCTCTCCCTTATCCATAGTTTTGCAGATAATAGGAGGATGGATTTGTTCAGAATTTGATAAGTTTTACTAGATTTTTTTGTATTTTATTTAAAGAAAGGCCTTTGATTTATTTTATAACTTAAGCCTCCAATGTTAGAGTAAACAGAGTAATATAGTAAAGTATTTAAAAATATTTTTCATTGTGGAGAATTTTAACACTTTATTTCCGATACACATGTACACATATACGAGATCATATTATATGTATTACTCCCATTGGATTTTTAGAATACCATAGTATTCTAATATGATAGTATTTGATCTGTTAACTGAGAGGGCTACTAAGTGACTAACAGGCAGGTAGTGTATAAGGTAGTGTATACAGCGTGGATATGCTGGATAAAGGGTAGTTCATGTCTCAGGTGAGATTGAGTGAGATTTCATCACACTACTCAGAATGGTGTGCAATTTATTCTGGAATTTTACATTGAATATTTTTGGACTGAGGTTGACCACAGGAAACTGAAACCACAGAAAGCAGAACCACAGAAAAGGGGGGACTACTGCATACTTTATTCTAAAAATGAAGTATTAAAAATAATTTCCATTTAAAACAATCAATATACATGCGAGGGGCAAAGGGGCTCCTTTTTGCCTTGTAAAAGACTAAAATATCTGACTCTCCAAATTATACTGACTCCATAGCAGATCTATTCATGAAGATTTGACAAGATGGTTGCTTTGTTATAGGCTAATGGAGGAACGTAGAATAAGAATAAATAACTTCCTGAGTGAAATAATAAAACAGAAACTTGACAATGAAGATATGATTCTTGCTAGAAATAGTGAAGAAGTTGAGGCTGAATGGGAAAAAAGAGAAAGAGATAAATATGAAAAAAATAAAGCAGAATTAAAAGCGATTGAAGAATATAGAGTCTTTGCGGTAAGCAATTTAATTTTGACAAATAAAAATTACACCAAAAAAAAGCCCTTCCCACTGTCCTTTCTACTCCCTCTGTATCCCAGACAAAAAAAATATCAGAGATTTGAAAAATAATGTATGAATTACCTTCCTGTATTCTTGAAATCAGACCATGTTTACTTTCTAACAGAAGATAACATGACAATCAATTACAAATGATGTATTTATAGATGCAAAGCAATAATCTCTTCTGTTCTAGTTTGGTGAAATATGCCATTAGCATTTTAATAGGAATTGCATTGGGTAGTATGGACATTTTAATGATGTTAATTCTTCCAGTCCATGAACATGGTATATGCTTCCTCTGTGTCTTTCTTCAGTGTTCTATAGTTTTCTCAGTACAGGTCTTTTATCTCCTTGGTTAAACTTATTCCTAGGTACCTTATTTTTTGTTGTTGTTACATTAGTATGAAATACAAAACATTTTATTCATTAATATACTTTGAATTTGAATGTTTTCAAGACAAATAATGCAAAAATTACCCTATTGCATTTCTGTATGTCTTAATTATTTAGAATTTATTTCCTATATGACTGTCATAATATTTAAATTGGATAATTTATAAACATTGTAGCAACTAATTTTTTTTAAAATATATTTTATTGATTTTTTACAGAGAGGAAGGGAGAGAGATAGAGAGTTAGAAACATTGATGAGGGAGAAACATCGATCAGCTGCCTCCTGCACATCCCCCACAGGGGATGTGCCCGCAACCCAGGTACATGCCCTTGACCGGAATCGAACCCGGGACCTTTCAGTCCGCAGGCCGACGCTCTATCCACTGAGCCAAACCGGTTTCGGCGCGACTAATTTTTTTATCTACAAAGATTTTCCTACCTTGAGAAAATCTACCTTTTTTTCTATTCCTGTATTTTTTTTTTTTTTAACAAATGTCATTCTATTTAAATTGTCGTCGTGTATCCTGATATTTGGGAGATAAACTGTCCACATGGGAATGAGCCCAGGTGCATACAATTTTCCGACCTTGCATTGCTCTGGACTGACTTTCTGCTTGGAACTTTCTGATCCATGCCTTCTTTAGAGAGCAATGGTTGCTGAACATGGTTTAGTGTTTTCCTTTACCTTTTAACATCTAGATGAAAAACAAAGCAGAAGAAGAAAGACAAAGAAAAATTGAGGATAAAGAACATTTGCTGGCTGTCATGAAAGCGGACCAGATTTTCTATGAGCATGAAAAGGAGAAAAAACGCAAAAGTGATAAAGAACGTCTTGAAGTTCAAGATGCCCATATTCAGCAAATGGTAATTATTTGTGTTTATACTTATTTTAGTAATAACTATGTAAATAGAGTTCATGCGAGTTTTCTTTCCAAAGCAGATTCCTTTGACAAGTGAGATCAGCTGGTTATTATGACACAATCCTATATAATAAAAGGGTAATATGCAAATTGACCCTAATGGTGGACCAACCAGAACAACTGGTTGCTATGACGCACACTGACCACCAGAGGGCAGATGCTCAATGCAGGAGCTGCCCCCTGGTGGTCAGTGCGCTCCCACAGGGGGAGCACTGCTCAGCCAGAAGCTGGCTCATGGCTGGCCAGCACAGCGGCAGTGCGGGGGGTCTCTCCCGCCTCCGCAGTAGCACTAAGGATGTCCAACTGACAGCTTAGGCCCACTCCTTGCAGGGAACAGGTCTAAGCAATTAGTTGAACATCCCCTGAGGGCTCCTGGGCTACCAGAGAAATGTCCAACTGCCAGCTTAGCCCCGCTCCCTTGGGGAGCAGGCCTAAACTGACAGGTGGACATCCCCCAAGGGTTTCTGGACTGCAAGAGGGTGCAGGCTAGGCTGAGGGAAACCTCCGAGTGCATGAATTTTCGTGCATTGGGCCTCTAGTCTATACTAATAATAGAGGAATATGCAAATTGTCTAGGACAGGGGTGGGCAAACTTTTTGACTCGAGGGCCACAATAGGTTCTTAAACTGGACTGGAGGGCCGGAACAAAAGCATGGATGGAGTGTTTGTGTGAACTAATATAAATTCAAAGTAAACATCATTACATAAAAGGGTACACAAAAGCATGGATGGAGTGTTTGTGTGAACTAATATAAATTCAGAGTAAACCTCATTACATAAAAGGGTACGGTCTTTTTTTTTTTTAGTTTTATTCATTTCAAACAGGCCGGATCTGGCCCGCGGGCTGTAGTTTGCCCACGGCTGGTCTAGGACGTTGTCACAGTAACGACCGAACAGCAGGCTGCATGGGGCGACCAGGCCAGCAGGGGGGGGCAGTGAGGGACGACCAAACAACTGAACAGCAGGCCAGCAGGGGGATTAGTGAGGGATGACCAAACGACTGAACAGCAGGTTGCGTGGGGTGACCAGGCCATCAGGGGGGGGACAATTGGTGGCAACCAGGCCAGCAGGGGGGCAGTTGGGGATGACAAGTCTGGGGGGAGGGGGCAGTTGGGGTTGACCAAGCTGGCAGGGGGGCAGTTAGGGGTGACCAGGCCAGCAGGGGGGCAGTTGGGGATGACAAGTCTGGTGGGAGGGGGCAGTTGGGGTTGACCAAGCTGGCAGGGGGGCAGTTAGGGGTGACCAGGCCAGCAGGGGGGCAGTAAGGGGAGATAAGGCCACAGGCAGAGGCACTTAGGGGTGATCAGGCTGGCAGGCAGGTGGTCAGGAGCCAGCAGTCCCAGATTGTGAGAGGGTGCAGGCTGGGCTGAGTGACCCTCGCCCCCGTGCACGATTTCATGCACTGGGCCTCTAGTATCTAATCTAATAATAGACAAACAGGGTAATTGACCATACTTTCGCTATGCCTCCCATTGGCTAATCAGCGTGATACGCAAATTAACCACCAACAAATATGGCGGTTAATTTGCATATGTAGGCACCAAGCAGAGCAGCAAAAGCACTGAAGGCAGCTCTGGCCGGAGCAGCGAAGGTGCTGAAGGCGGCTCCAGCTGGAGCAGCAAAGGCCTGGGTGTTGGGTGCTGGAGGAAAACCGGTGCCGGCAGCCAGGGGAAGGGAAGGCCTATTGCATGAGTCTTTTTGTGCAACAGGCCTCTATTCCTATCTAATAAAAGAGAAACATGGTAATTGGCGTACAACCGCTACCCTTCCCATTGGCTAATCAGGGAAATATGCAAATTAACTGCCAGCCAAGATTAACTGCGGCCCGCAGCCAGGCAGCTTACGCGAACAGGGAGGCTTGCTTGCTTCACGGACGGAGG